GAGAGAGAGAGAGAGAGAGACAGAGACAGAGAGAACTCAATCAACCGTCTCTCCCAGGACGACAGAGACGAAAAAAGGAGAGGGAATACCGCATAAGAAGCGAAGGAAACGCCGCGTCACAGGCGAGAGCTGGCCATCTTACGACAAACGTGTTAATTAGAAATTCATCGTTCGCCTTCGGATTCGAGTTCGCCGGGCAAGAAGCGGGCGTTGCGTTCAACCGGCGTGAAACTCGGCGATTTTTCGTAGCCGAGCCGTTTCGGGGCGGGAGCAACTTTTTGCTGCCGCACAACACCCACCCAGACCGATCGAAGCGAGGTGGCGTTGTTGTTCGCGGCTCGGGCGCAACGAGCGAAACGCGATACGCGCGAGACCTTTTTTTCGGGCCTGCGCGAATCGATCACGGAAAGAAACCCGTCCGCTCGCGCCAACGGCTTCGTTCACTTTTCCTTATTCCGTTACCTTTTATCTTATTGCGTGAGGGGGTGATGAGCGTGTGCTTTTCCCCTCCCTCTCGTTGGATTCGATATTTTAGATCGAGGTTGGCGATGAATTGAGTAGAAAAGGATAAGAGATAATAGAACGGTAGCCGGTTATCGATCTTCTTTACCGATCGAGCGAATAGAAAAATTTTTCGCATTTAATCAATAAGAGATTTTGCACGAAATATTTCATAACCGTGCGATAAATTTTCACGAGTAATTGAATTAATAAGAGAGTCCAGTACTCACGGATGTCGGATCCTGGATGATGGTGGAGGACCCATGATCGCAGCACATGAAAAAAAAGGATAATAAAATAAGGATAAAAAAAAACACGTGGGTCGATGCTGGTCGAGAAATTCGGAAATCGATTTAATTTTCAATTTCTGGTCGACCCTCTCCGTCCTTCCTCTTTTTATTATCTTTGGTCGAAACGCGACGATCGATCAGGCGGATCGAGTACAAACGATCGAAACGGTCGAAACGACGACGACGACGACGAGGACGACGTTGGCCAAGTCGTTTCGAGAAAAAGAGCTGCAGTTTATGCAGGAATAATAATTGGATTGTAATCGTCGTGGGGGACGGAAGCGCGCACTTTTCTGCCTACTATCAGATCGCGTCAGCAGCTCTCAACTTTGCATTTTTTTTCAATTTTGCGATCGAGATTTCGAGAATTTTTGATTTCCAAATTCGAGATTGTCTTAAATTCGTTTTTTAAAAGCAAAAATCGTGTAACAATAGCGATCCTTGTTGAATAAGATCTTCTGAAAGTGAAACGTTAGGTAAATTGTGGAATTTTGTATTTATAATTTCTGTAATTATTGGAGAGATACAAGATTTGCTTGTTAAATAAGATCTTCTAAAGGAAAGTAAGTATCCAAAAGTATCTAATTCCATTATTTTTTTTTATTTTACAATTTCTAAAATTACGATAGTCAACTAGATGGCGCGAAGAAAAAGATCGACAAATCCATAATTCGACGACTATAATTGTTATTAAATAAGATTGCAAATTATAGAGAAAGGAGAATAAAATTTAAAAATTTTGTTACAAGATCTTCTAAAAAGCTATATCCATTCGAAAACGAAAAAAGGATTTTTAAAAAGAAATTACATGCCATGAGATAAAATTTAAAAGAGCTAATTTAAAAAAAAAAAGAATTACATGCGAATTCTTATTAAATAAGACTGCAGATTATGCAAGGATAAAATTTAAAAACTTCGTTACAAGTCGTCTAAAAACCTAGAGATCGTAGAGATCGATCGAGAAAATCCACAATTCTACAACTACAATTAATCACCCTTATATAAACAAGCTTGCGAATTACTCAAAAAAGGGGGGAAAGAGGGATATATAAAATTTAAAAAAACTTCGTTCAACTTGTTGATCCTCTAGAAAAAACCAAAAAAAAAGAACTATTACCAGTGTCAATATCAAACGTCCCACGCGGGGGAAGAAAATCGATTGAGAAACTCTGCTCTCCAATAATCGCGCCAGTTTCAAAGTATAAAGACGTTCAAACCTCCCTCCCCCTCTCCCTGACAATTTGTTATGCATACCTCGCACGCGGACGAAAATTGCGTTTAATTCGCCTGGCTGCTTACGCTACTCCTCTCCCCCTTTGCCATTCGAAAATCACGCTCCCCCTCCCTCTCATCACAGGAGGAGGGGAGTAAAGGGTGGAGTCCTCTTATATAAAACGTAGAGAGATGTCCCATTTAAAAAGCCATTCTCGCGTGTTTAGCATAATGCGTAATCGCGCGAATCACCCCTCCTCTCCTCTCCCCTTCCTCCCTCCCCCTCCTCCCTTCTCTCGAGTCATTATCTCGCGTGGAAGATATTTTTTTTCCCCNATGTATTTTACATTGTTGTATTGTACATTTTTCCATGAAACAAATTCGTGAAATGGAAAACAGAGGAGGAATTGTGACATAAAACTAATATTGTTAGTTAGAATAATACGATCAAGTAACAGTTTTCGAGGATGCTCGAGAAAATTTAATAATTGAAATAATTGTAATAATAATAATAATAATTGCGAATTGGTGAGATTATGCGAGAAGCGGATCGACTCTGATGCTCGAACATCATTTCATCATTCATTTTTTAAAAAAATGATGAAATTTCTTTGGAATAATCGCTTCGACTAGAATAATAATTCCTCTTTGCGCAAAGAATATTTACTCAATAATTAAGAATATAAAAGTTTTAAAATTTTTTAAAATTCGCCGAGAAAAAGTCATCCAAAATAATTAAGCAATCAATTTCCATTCCAATCGTTCTCCAAACAAACCAACCAAAGAAATCATACCCCGTCCAAGATCCGATTAATCGACCTCTTATATGGAATAGAATCGGGACAAATCTTTTCCCCGCCTCTGAAATTATTTCCAAGCCAAATTATTTCCCGTTTCAACCAAGTTTCCATCGTTGAAATAAAGTGGGCCAGAACACACGAGGCAATTAATTACCACTGATCTGATTGCGCGCAATTAATCCTGCCGTCTTTCTATCCTCTCTTCCCTCTCCCCTCCCCCCTCTCTGGCATCGTTAATTAAGAGTAAACGAATGTCTCCATGGATGTAGATATTCGCCAGAGAGAGAGAGAGAGAGAGAGAGGCACGCTCTTTATTTGGAATAATTTAACTTTGAACGAGGTGGATAGATCCACCCTTATATCTGCAACTTGTTACATAACCTTTCTCGTTACGTTGTTGACGAATTTTTTCTGATTCGATGGATTTGGAGAGAAATAAAAAGTTTCTAATAAAGTTCAAAAAAGAATTTGAAAATTAAGAATGTTTTATTATTATTATTATTGTTATTAAATTGAGAGTAATTAAGTTTCTCAAGGATCAGAAAGATTCGAAGAAATTGCAATGAGTTTAAATTCGCAATTGCCAACCCTTTGGGTGAAAAGTCCCTAGACGAACGCGTGTATTGCAATTTCTTTCGCAAGGAGGTTAGCCATGTTGAAATTATCATTCGAATTATTCTTCTCGTTTCTAGGAAGATATTACATTATTCTGCTTCATTTTCCACGCCTCGTTTCGAGGATTAATTAGACACAAATAACTAATAGCCATATTTGAACAAAGACTACTTTATTTAACTGAGTTAGTTAAACAACTCGATTATGTAAATTGTATAAATTCGATTATTTAATCTAGGTTTTAATTTAATCTTGTGACGATTAATCAATCCTGTTCCAGAATAGAATGTTGTTAGAATTGGTTTCTAAGAAAAGAATCAAAGTGGAAATTATTGTGGTTGTACTTGATTTTAACTGCAATTTAATGTTGTTGATTGACGGTACAGTTTCAATCGAGATATCGCAAAGTGTCGGGGAAAAGCAAGGTTCGCGCCAAATTTCTCCATTATCCTTTGTGATTTTTGATCCATGGGATCGAGCAATTTATAATAACACGATCCAAGAAGCGGGAGCGATCGGTGCATTCGAGGTCAGGATAGGTCGAGGTATATAAAGATAATAGGCAGCCACCGGCCGGTCGGCGAGTAAGTTTTCTTTTCAACGTCCAAGTACGTTGACGCGCGTGAAAGAAAGGTTTCTCTCGAAAGTGTAAGCCGCTCCAACTTTGGGAAATGTCCGAAATAGAGAAAACAATAATTTACAATAATTTTCGCAAACGATCCATATCGATTCTTGGAAAATGATAAGAACAATTTTAGGAAAGATAGTCTTTTAGAAAAAGATTATTAAACGATTCTTTTTCTATATCTTCATCTCAAAAATGTTAATCCTCATTCTG